AGTCCAGAAGGGTGGGAAGAAGGAGAGAGAGAAACAGGAACAAAATGAGATGCCAGAAAGAGATCTGAACATGAGGTCACCCGCTAACAGTCAGGAAAGGGGCTTTGAGTGAGCTGTCCACCAAGGGTCTGGCTGGACAGAATTAGCATTAGCCTCCACTGGGGCTGGGCAGGAGAGGTGGCCCTGACATCCCGTTAGGCACAGTCCAGGGAGGCTGGGCAGAGGGGTGACCCATTAATATGGATGAGATGTCAACAGAAAAGATAGAATTTCAAATGAAAATGTAACCTAGGACCTCTGACTAGGAGTTGAAGTGAAAACGTGCTTAGAATTGACAATGATCTGTCATCTAATACTGAGTGATGCACACACAAAAACATTCACAACTACACACACTCATGCATTTTCATACTCAAATATAAAGAAGTTACAAAAGCCTCATACATAATACAACTAGACTAGTGTGCACACACACATGCACACTCACACTCAGATCCACCACAGTCAATTATCTGTTACCCACCCCAGCTTCTCCTCATCTGTCTCCCCTCTTTGTCTCTCTCCCATGGATGCTCTTAGCTTTAAAGTTTGACAACTTTGTATATGGGCCTGCAAGCTAGGTTTGCTCCACTTTGCCCAGGGGGTTGCCCTTGTTTGGAAACATCCAAAGGCAGAAAGAGAAGGAGGGAGGTCCTTCTCACAGAAATGTTCTGCTCAGAGCAGCCACCTCATTCCCTTCAGCGGTAGCATTAGCAATACGTGAAGACTCCCACAGAATGGTTACTCGCTGCCTGGCCTTTGCAGGGCCCTGGGACCTGAGCGGTGAGTAATACTGATTTTTGCCATCTCTAATTATCTTGCCCCCAAAACAATGCAAAGTTGAGTTGGAAAACAAAGCTGATACCCAGGAAAAGTGAAATACCAAAGCCATTTCTAAGTTCCAAAATGAATGTTTAGATAAGAGTTCTCTTAAAAGCCCAGAGGAAAAGTTATTTGTGAGGGCTGGGAGGTCAGGGAAGACTTCCTGAAGGGGCGTCTTAAAGGATAGGCAGAAAGCAGGGCTTCAGAGAGGAATGGGAAGCACTTAACAAACACAAGATGTTTAATACATTCTGTTGGATGATCATGACAGCATTCCAGGCCAAAGGCAGAGAGGACCAAGTGGGGACCTTTAGGAGATCTCAGAACAAGAGGAGAAAATACTGGGACATGCTTTTTTTTTTTTTTTTTCTTGGAGAGATTTGGAAACTTTTTTTTTCTGGGAAATTCTTTTTTTTTTTTTTTTTTAAAGTGCTTTCCCATTCATCCTCTCATTGTAGCCTCATAGTACTCTTGGGAGTAGGTTGCCTTGGGATGTCACCGTATCAAAGAGTAAGAAACTGAAGGCAGTTGAAGCTCTGGGGTAACTCCAGACAGGGCGAGATTTACTTAATGTCACAAGGCCAGGCAGTGTCGCTCACTGGTACCCAGCAGGGGGCGCTCTAGCCTCTCTTCTTGCCTGCCCACTTCCTTCTCAGGATAGAGCCACAAGCAGGTATAAAGGGTAGAATCTGCTACCAACTAGTGTTCTGAGGGGAAAGAAGGAGACAATTGTACAAAAAGGAAGGGTGGAGGGAGGAGGGACATACTGGGCCTCTACCTTGCTCTCACACAACCCTTTATAAACAATGCTAGGGTCTTTTTTTTTGGCATCAGTCCAGAGGCTTAGAAACAGAACTGAAGGTCTGTTCCCTCTGCCCTCCTCCCCTCCCCCACCCCAGATTCTTGTTCTAATGCCACTGCAGAGGCTGGGTCCCAGCCATGATGATATTGTTAGCTTGGTAGCAGCAGCAGCAGTAGCAGCAGCAGCAGCAGCAGCAGCAGCAGCAGCAGCAGCAGGGGGTCAATACCTAATTTTTCCTGTGCCTTTGAATAGGAGAGGGGCGTAGGATGGGCTGTATCCTTTCATGGCAATTCAATAGCACCCTGAGGCTTGCCTAAGAGGACCCCAACTTATTTTCTTAAGTTGTAAGGAGAGTGCCAACCATAAAAATCTGGAGTGATTAACGTCTGTTGAGCATCAATTCATACATCTACCAAATATGTACTGACCTAATTTACTGTGTGCCAGGCATTGTATCCATTGCCTGCTTAATGTTCTCAACAGTCCCGTGGGTTGGTGCTGTCCTTCATCTCAGTGCTGAAACCCTTCCCCTCTAACTTGAGATCATGGGTATAACCTGGTCCAGAAAAGCTGGGGTTGCTGAGCAGGCCAAGGTCTCAGGAGGTCCACTCGAAACCCCTCCTCTCCTGGTCAGGCCTTTTCACTCTGCGTTTCCAATGTGAAGAAGCAGACAGGACTACTGCAAAAACCTCCTCCACTTGGCCTTATACCCATGTATTTTTTCTGTTAAAGCAGAAATTTTCAACCTTTTTCATCTCGAGGCACACATAAACTAATTACTAAAATTCTATGCACACCAAAAAATATATTATGCTTTTTGCTGATCTGACCCCCCAAAAATTAGGTATGATTTTGATTCATTCACACCAGACAGCTATTGGCTGTTGCCATTCTTTTATTTGACAGTCGAAGGGAAAAGAGGCCAGTGCCCCCAAATAGTCAGGTACTGCATGTTTTAAAAATTCTTGTGCCATGGCACACCAGCTGGAAATCGCTGGACTAAAAGAATGTTAAATGTTCATGGAATCCATATGCTGTAGTTTGTAGACATTTAATGGCACTCATTTAGCATTAAAAAATATTTCTCATCTGCACAATTCATTCTCTGACGTCAGTGTGCCATGGCACAATTCATTCTCTGACGTCAGTTATGTAACCTCCTGCTTCAGGTCATTTCAGAGTTACAGACTAGAAGGCAATGCTGCAGAGCATCCAGCATCCTCCTAGAGAAGAGTCCCCCATTTCCTCCATGACAAATCTTTATTCAGACTCTACTTGCATACCTCTGATGATGGGGAGTTCACTGTTTCCATGGGAGCCCATCCAATGATTGACAACTAGGAAGTTTTCCTGATTTGGACTTGAAATCAGTCTTACTGAGAATACTTCCCTGGATGTGGTCTTTATATTGGACAACACAGAAAAAGTTTGCTTCTTTTGGACAAAAATAATGTCCAAAATACAGATTGTGGTTTTGCCTTCCTACTTCTACTCCCTCTTAGGTTTTGTCTCAAGGACAAATAGCTCCAGTCTCCTCTTCAATTTCGAATGGGAAATGATTTACAGACAACTCACCATCCTGGTTGTATTACCAGTAGCATAGATATCATCTATTGAGCACCTTTTCTGTCATTTCCCATACCCAAATTCATTGAACCTACATAACTACTACAATGAGATAGACATTACTATTACCATCCTATGGGTGAGAAAACTAAGATTCAGAAAGGTTCAATAATATACCCAAGATCACCCAGATATTAAGAGACAGAACCAGGGTCAGGATGCAGAATTAAAACCCAGAGTTGCCTGTCTCCACGTGTTTTGCTTGTAAACTATGAACATATTCACTGCTTGTGAGGCCTGTGATCCAATTAATCAAAGCAATTTTTAAAAGTGGGGCCTAAATCTAGTCACAACATATAGAAACAGTCTGACCAGGGAAAAATAGATCTGGACTATCACCTCCCTTACTTTACGCAATCTGCCTCTATTTATGCTGCCTCACGAGAAGCTATCCTTTCTGAAAGGCCTGCCACCCTGTTGCCTCATGTTGAGCTGGTTGCAGTCAACTAAATCCCCAGGACTCTGACATGGCAACTGCCAGGAAAGTTAAGTTTCAACCGTTCTTCCTTATCTTGGTTATAGAGTCCCTGACAAGGAAGTGAGGTTGGCTGGTTGGATCTCACAGGAGTGAGAGACCTAAAGGGAAAGGTGCCAAGAACACTCAGAGGGACAGAAGAGCTGCATCAACCACTTTATTTGTGTTCCTCTGGGCAACGAGCACCCTGGGGAGAAGCTGTATACACAACACAACATTTGTAGCCAGCGAACATATGGTTCTTTGTTATAATTTCTGAAAACCAATAAGCAAAGGGAGAACACGCTTTGCTCTTCATTTTTGCATCAAACGTAGAAAATCTTCAACCCAAAGCAAAAAAGTGCTTCACTGGAGCTTTGTGCTAAAGGCCCTATCTCCCTGGAGCCTCCCTTCCTCTCCCTACCTCCTAATCCTCATTTCCGGGAGGTCACTTTAATTAGCAGGCTGTCCCGGTGACTCAGCCTGCTGCTTCCCGACAGGGGAGGGAGCAGACTCTCCTGGACCCATTCATCATACAAAGGCACTTGACTCTTTAGAAAAATGCACAACATTAAGCTTGCCCCACCTTGGGAATTGCTGCTGCTGTTGTTTTATTTTATCATTCCCACCTGCCTGGGAGCGCATCTTTTCGTCTTTTGTATCTCCCCTATCTGGCCATCAGCCTTCCCCCCTGTCAGACTATCAATGCCTGCCTCTTCAGTGGCCAGGCTGGCTCTGTGACACCAGAATCTGGAGATTGAGTGACCAATACATTTTTTGTCTTTGGAGCTAAATTCTCAATGAAACCACCCAGGCCATTGGGAAATAACTCTTGGAACAGTTTTCTGATGTTGCATGCTGGGATTTGGGGGACTCAGGGAGCACGCAACTCATGCATAAAGTAACCGGATGTCTGAGACCATTGTAATTTTGAAAACTCTGTCCCATTGTTCCCAGCAGTGCAGGTGTCTCTGGGTTGCATGTGTTGTTGATGTTGCTTTGGATCAGCAGATATGGGCACAGCTTTTCTAAAACTATAAACAACCAGAGCTTATTTTAAAAGGTAACCATCTGGCCCTAACCGGTTTGGCTCAGTGGATAGAGCATCAGCCTACGGACTCAAGGGTCTCAGGTTCGATTCCGGTCAAGGGCATGTACCTTAGTTGCGGGCACATCCCCAGAAGGGAGTGTGCAGGAGGCAGCTGATTGATGTTTCTCTCTCATCGATGTTTCTAACCCTCTATCCCTCTCCCTTCCTCTCTGTAAGAATCAATAAAATATATTAAAAATAAAAATAAATAAAAGGTAACCATCTGTAGTAACTGTACAACTTCAACAGGGAAAGGGCTGGAGAGCACGGACTTCTGACCAACCTCTCAGAGGGATGTGCAGATTTTCCTCTTCCCGTGAGCATCTCTATGTGGTGGGAAAGGGCATCTGTACTCGCCTGGTGTGCATCTCCTATTTTGTTCCTGAGCTGTAAGCTGAAGCCTTACCATTGATTTTCCATTGGTAAAAGGGAAAATCAATGATGAAATTTCTCATTTTCCTCCCTTCCTCTTCACTAGCTTATTCCTTATCCCACAGCCCTTCTCTTGGAAACTAGAAGGTGATTAATGTTATGCCCCAGCAGAAAATGAATGCTCCACAAGACCTCCCAGGACTTCATGTCCTTAAAAAGAGTCTGAAGGGTCTTTGTGGTTCACTGAGCTCTTCTTGTCCCCTTTGCTGATGGGATAGCTGCTGGCCGGGCCCCGCCGGAGTGGGTACTTGTAGGGAGGGGGTCTTTCTTTCCTGCAAAGGGAGAGATGACAGAAAGAGAGAAGAAGGACAGCACATATACACAGTGTATGAAATCATTTGTGTGCATGTCTATCTCCCCCACTGGATTGGGACCGCTTAGGAACAGTGGCCTTGTCTTGTCCTGGGAACCCACCTCAGGGCCTGGTTCAAAGCAAGCACAGTGGTTCAATGAATAGTGGTTGGATGGATGGATGGATGGATGGATGGATAGATGGATAGATGGATAGGTGGATGGATGGATACATTACATCATTCTGGTTCTGGAAGAAACCTAACTTCTTATAGCTCAACTCTTCCATGTTTCCACCTTGATTCTACCTCATTCTACCCATTCACGATAAGATGGGGGTGGACACATAGAAGGGCTATGGCTTGAGAGAGCCTAGGACCCATTCCCTTCACAAGCATCTGGGCTCCACAGCCCTCTTTATATTTCTCAGTACAGCCCGATTATGGAATTTCATGATGGGTCTGTCTCCCCACAGTCTGGGGGCTTTTTTAAGTCAGAGATGTGTCTGGCTCATCACTGTGTCACAGCAGCTAGTAGCCAGCAGGCAGCACTCAATGCAATATCCTTAACGCCACTTTTTAGTAACCATACACTGTCTGGTTGGCTCACACACTAGACCAGCTGTAGGCAAACTATGGCCCATTTGAAATGAACTAAAAAAAAAAAAAAAAAGACCGTACCCTTTTATGTAATGATGTTTACTTTGAATTTATATTAGTTCACACAAACACTCCATCCATGCTTTTGTTCTGGCCCTCCGGTCCAGTTTAAGAACCTATTGTGGCCCTCGAGACAAAAAGTTTGCCTACCCCTGCACTAGACTATGAGCTCCTTGTTGTCAGGGACCAAGTCGTATCCACTTTTTCATTTTCCCTCACGCAGGGCCTTATGTTGTGACTGGTAAGTTGGTGTGCCATTCATTCATGCTTTGGACTAAGATTGATTCCCAGTGGGAAGAGTGGGCTTCAGAACCAGAAAGAACTCAACTGAATTCCTAGGACTGCTATATATAAGAGGTGTGACCTTGTAAAGTTATTTAACTTCTTTGAGCTTTATTTGTAAAATGGGGATAAAATAGTCCAACCCTGTAGGGGCATCATGACTTTAGATAAAATTATGAGTAAATGTACCTAGTATCATTCCTTGCCAATTGTAATTTACAAAGGCAGGGTGCTGGGTACTAGGTATGGTCCCAAAATGAGTCAGTCATTGATGCTGTTCTCAGGCTGCATAAGTTTAGTAGAGAAGAAAACTGAACAAAATAACTACACAGAATAATAAAGAACTATAATGCATGGCAGGAAATGGTAAATGGCATGAAGAGGGCAATCTCTTATTCTATCTGGATTAGAACTGAGGAAGTGACTTCCTATAGTCCCCTACGCTCTGACCTTGGAAGAGCCATTTCCTTCATTGTTGATGACTGAGGAGTAAGGTAAAGACAATAGGAGGCAGCACACAAAAGGGACATCATGCATCTGACCAGCCATGTCTTCTTCATCTGTATCGTGAGGAGGGGTCCTGGATGATTGCTAAAGTCCCCGACTGTCAGCCCCATTCCATTAGTCTGACACAATGCAACATGCAAGAAAAAAGTGGTAAAGGATCAAAATAATTTCATTGAGGCTGAGAGAGGACCTGAGAGAGAGAATCCCCAAATTAACTTGCAAATGAGATTCTAAGAGTTCTTTTGAGTTTTATAAAGCTTTAAAAATTTAAGAACTTTAACCAATCAAGAATGACTTCTAAGAAAGAACTGAGTACTTTTCTCTAGAGGTGAGCCCCTCCAAGACAGGGTCATACCTTAATCATTTATATATTCAGCTTCATCCTTTCCCCAGGGTCCTTGCATAAAGTGTTGTTTTCCTAAGTGGATGACTAAATGAACGAATGAATGTATACAAAAATGCACACTCAGTACCGTCTAGACACTGTGGGAGCACAGAGAAGAAATAAATGTAATCCTCCCCCAGGATGGGGGGCACAAAGAGCCCCATGACTGGTGAATAATCTGAGACTGACTATGAGTCAGAGTACATTGTCATGCAGCTGGGGCTCAAGGATAGTGACTCACAACATGGTTTAACTGGGGCCCTGAGAAATCATCCAACTCAACCAGAGAAGGCCAGGATCTTGCCCTAGGCTATGAAGAGCCTGTTGGAAATCTGGGACGGCAAACTAGAAACCAGAGGAGATCAAAGCATTTATTGACCATCTATTGGCTGCTAGGCACTGTACCAAGCTTGTATCTAATCTTTAAAACCATCTTTAGAGGTCATTGTTATTACCCCAACTTTATAGATAAGTAGAACAAAGGTTTTAAGAGGTCCCACAGCTACAATGAGCCTGAGATAATTTGAATCCTCACTTTCCAGTGGAACTTAGCTGGACCTCAGTCTAGCTTTGGAATCATAAAAGTCTAGGATCAGATCCTGGCTCTGACAAAAATTCTTTGACCTCAGGCAATTCTCTTCACCTTTCCGAGCTCTCTTTCCCTCATTTGTAATATGGAGCATATAACATCTACAAGGAATAAATAAATAGGATCAGGGACAGCAATTACTTCACTCAATAAATAACAATGACTGCTATAGGGTTTTTTGTTGTTGTTGTTAATAATTAGGTAAGGAGGAAGGTGCAAAGGCCCTGAGGCAGCAAGCACATAGTCAAGGTCTTCAGCAAGGACTGTGGGAAGACTGGTCTGGCAGGAGCAGTAAGTTATACATCTTCATGTCCTTCAAGGAGGCTGGACCACAAGGGAAGTAGGAAATGAAGACAAGAGGCAGGGCAGGGGCTGCACAATCCAGATGCCCAAATGCTCACTGGGCTCACCTCCAGCAGGTGTGGGAACACCCAGTGCTTGGCACTCTTGTTTAGTCCCCAGGAAGAATACTCATCTCCTGACGTCTCTCCTCACTGGCTTAAGAAGTTGCTCCAGCAGAGCGCCTGAGCCAAACCTTCTCGGGGGTGTGTCCCCTCCAGCCCTGAACCTTTGTGTCTTGAGGGAAGGGGACTACCATGCACCAAAGGGACATATGTATGATAAACTTCCAACTGAGTGCTACTGTCCCAGTTTATGGATGAGGAAATGGAAGGATAAGACACTTTAGGAGCCTAGATGACATAGGAGTCTCTGAGGATGAGCTATCAGATGAAGTAGCATATGGTACCACCAGACTAATTTAGAATTATGACTGCACTTGGCTCCCAGTAAGCCCCATCCCTGTAGACTCCCATGAAATGTGACCACCCCTCACTGTCCGACCCCATATTGATACTTTATACTCAAGAAATACTCTGTTAAGCTCTTCTTTCCCATACACTCTGTGGCAGGGCTGGCATTTCTTTCCCGTGCCACAGATGGGAAACTGAGGGTAGTTGCCCCTGAATGTGAAGCCCACAAAGCAGGTCTCCAGACCACACTGCTCTGCTCAGCCACTCACCGCAGCCTTGGCATGGGAATCGCCATTTTCTCAACCATGGGGTCCAGCCGATAATAATCCAAAAACGTTCTGGCCACATTCCGCCCCAGCTTCATATCTGCAAGTTGGTGTATTAAGGAGCAACTTGGAAAAGAGACTGGCACAGAGTGAGAAGAGGACGAGTATAACAAAGGATTACAATAATAAAAACAGTTGTATCACTCACTACTTAATGTTTTTTGCAGGGAATATCTTTTCAATCTGCACAACACCTCTTGGGAATAACTGGGCTTCTGTGGTCTGGCTTCAGGTCTATCAGGAAGCCGATCATAAGACCCAAGAGGAAGATTTGTTGTATGTAGAGCAGGGCCAGCCTGACCCTCAGGGATCTGTCTTCTTCTTTGGTAATCCAGCAACAATGGTAAAATCCTCTCATCCTACATAGTGTCCCCATGCTACCAATAATAAATCTTCAGAGCTATGTTAAAACACAAACTCCCTGGGGACCACAGTGGCCATTAACGCCTTAGTATAAATCAGTACAGCAATCATCTATTCAGCGCCACAGAGTATCTGCTCTCTGCATTATATCTCACAGTGCTAGGCCTTCACATAAGCTGTTTTCTCTTCCTGAAGTTCCTCCCTCTTCCCTTCACTAATTCATACCTATCAAGTCTCCAATTGGGTGAGATCTCTTTAGCAAAACCTTCCATGACACTTCTCTCCCCTTGCCCCATACTTCCATGGCTTCTGAACTGACTTCACTCAAAGCACTTATTACCTAGCTCATGCCCCTTAGCTCAGAACATCCAAACTGCCACCAATTCTTCTCCATGGATCTCCTATTTATTGAGTTTGTCTCTTGTCTCCAGTCCCCCTGCTATGCCCCTAGACAAGGCCAGTATGTCCTTTTCCCTGGCTTATTGTTGCCCTGTCCTGACTGCCTGTCTACACCCCTTTTCTACAATGTAGCCAGGGGGGCTGTTCTAAAACACAGACTTGATCATGTCACCCAATTGAGTAAAACCGTTCAGTGGCACCCAGTTACCTTTAAATTTCAAATTTTGGAACTTCATTTACAAGGTCCTTCGTAATTGGGTCCCTGATTATTTTCTTGGCTTATGCGTGCTACCTCCCTACATCTACCCTCTTCCTTGCCCTTCACACTGTAGCAATACTGAACTTTTCCCCCTCCAGGCCTCTGTCTACATTATTTTGTCTTCCTATACCACTCTCCCTCCCTCCACAAGCCTTATAGGGCCGACTCACTCTCAGCCTTCTGACAGCTTAGTGTTGTTATCATTTCAAGGAGAATTCTCAGCCACTGTGCCATCCAAGGTCTTGGAGCTAGACTAGCCATTGCAGAAGGGTCGAGTGAATTTGTTCCACCTTCTTCAAAAAGTCCCAGAGTTGGGGTTGGGCAGGACCCAGAACATGAACACTGGCATTTTTGGAGCATCTGGCATGTGCCTGGCACTGCACTGGGTACCTTGTTTACATATGCATTTTGATCAAAGCAACCCAGTGAGGGAAGCATTTTCTGGGAGGTGAAGGAACTTGGCCAAGGCCACATACCCAGCAATGCTAGAGTCAGGACTAAAATCAGGAGTGTCTGACTGCAGAACTGTAAGCTTTCCACAACCCTGGGCTCTTTCCCAACTTGAAAGCACCTTTCCTGTCAAGGGCTGAGTCATCCCAGGCCAGTGCCTGGTGGGAGAAGGAAAAACACAGGATGAGCTGTTTATGACAGGCGCTTTGCCGCACGCCCGCTGTGCTCTGGGGCTGCCACCTGCTTTCCTCTTCTGGATCTGACCGACCTTCTCTGTGCCCTTCTTTAAAAAGTTCACAAGCTGGCATGGCCTCTCTAACCAGCAGACCCTGAAGGCAGCCTCACGGCCAGGGCCCACAGAGCTGCTGGAAGCTTAAGGAAAGCAAATCATGCTTGCGTGTGCCAACAGTAAGAGCTACAAGGGCTCAGCAAGAATGAGAGGTCCCCAAGGAATGAGGACTGGGTAGAAGAGTTGCAGCAGAAGTTTTGGAATCAGATGTATCTAATCCAAATCCTGACTCTATTATGTACTGTGTATGGCAGATTGTATTTCCCAAAGACGTCTGTAACAGTAGCTCCATCTCACATGCTATTCTATGCTATAACTTTGACTCACCTTCCACTGAGAGATATGGTCTATGTCCCCTCCCCTTGAATCTGGGTGGGCTTGTGACTCATTTGTAATCAAAACAAATGGCAGACACTGTGAGACTTCTGAGGCAAGGTCATCAAAGGTAATGTAGCTTACCCCTTGCTTACTGGAAGACTTCAGCTGGGGTCCTGAACCGCCAGGCAAGCAGTCCTGAGGCTGCCATGCTGTGAGGAAGCCCAATCGCCTGGGCAGCTGCAGGGGGAGGCCCTGAGGCTATGTGAGAGACAATGATAGAGAGATATCCTAGCTCCTGCAGCACTCTGCTCTTCCAGCTCCAGACATTGTCTAAAGGCAGTTCCACCAAAGACTCCAAGCTGGAACCACTCAGCTGAGCCCTTCCAAAATTTCTGAGCCACAGACAATATGAGAGAATAGCTTTTGTTTTAAACACTAAGTCTGGGGGAACTAGAGCACTGTGGGCCCTCACATAAGTAAGCCAATCTCCTGAGCCTCAGTTTCCTCATCTTAAAGGGAAACAGTGATGCCTGCCGCACAAGACTGTTGTGATGAAGTGTGTGACTAACACCTGGGTGTTGACTGAATGAAAAAATGCATGGGGAAGAGGAAGCCTGACCCTGCCTCCCCAGCCCGCAGTGACAGACAGACCTGCAGCCACCCTGGAGGACACCATGTAAATCAGTACTCTTGAGCTCCACAAGGAAAGGAGCTGGGCTGCTCCAGCAAAATGTCCCACTGTGGGGCACTGGTCATTTTCGACAAGCTCTGTTTAAAGGACAGTGTTTTGAAGGTGGGAGTTGTCTGGGGCAGCCCTTTTCCCCTCTCCAGCCACATTACATTCCCTCAACCCCTGAGGGCCTCACTCCAGATGATTTACTGCAATGGCCCCGTCTGAGTCAAAAAATGGGATGTGAGTGGGAGATAGGGAGAGAGTGATTGAATACTTTCAATTAAAACAAGCTGTCTTTCAACAAAGATTTAAGATCCAGGCAAAGAGAAGGCAATAACTCTTTTGGCTGGGAACCTTTCAATATATTGCAGAATTAAGCCAGAAGAAAATTGGGGTGAAAACTCCCAACTCTTCACGGCCAGCAAAAATCTCAGGATGGTCTGTGAGCTGGAAATGTCAGCCTCCTCAGGTTCTCAGGTAGCTCCTGATCTGCTTTTTGCAGCTGGCAGGCAAGGACGTCAGGCGGGATCAGGACCCTTGAACCAGGGAAGCAGGAGGCTCTGCTGGGACTGTCCTCTCTCCCACGGTGGGTGCTGCGGGCAGGCCTGGTTATCATCCCCGTTTTGCAGATGAGAAATCAAAACTGACTTGTGCACTGAAACACATCAAGTATTGGCACAAGGAAAACTGAAGTCCATTCATTCATTCATTCATTTGCTCGATTCATTCATTCATTCATATATTTATTAAGTGTCTTCTACACTTCAGACAAGGTTCTAAGAGCTGGGATACATGAAGAGAAAAATGGACACTGTCTCTGTCCTCATGTAGGTCTTTCCTTGCCATTATCCTGGCTCCATATAAAAAAAATTTAACTCCTATCTGCTCCCTGTTTGGAGACCCCCACCTAGAATTCTTTCTCTGTTCACATTCCTCCTTATGCCAGCAACAGATGATCATCATTAAAGGAGATTGATTAGCTCTGCAGAGGGGTAGGCTGAGAAAAAGTGATTTCTCTTTGGTAAGGCTGATGGCACTGCTGGAATATTAAGAGGCACCTGTGTAGGAGCCTCTAGGCCTGAAGAACAATGTGACAGTGAAATAGCTTTTGTCTCTGCCTCCCTCACTCATCCTCCCACGGTGTCGGACAGGTGCATGATGAAACAGATGAATCTTTCCCTCGAGTGTGGTGTGGAGGCTGCAGATGGAGTTGTGGAGTCCTTTGCAGTTGCAGGCAAGTCCTGAGATGCCCTCGAGGTGTG